TTTCAGCTCAAAATGACGGTCTCACCAGAGACATTTCCCTCAGTCATATATCAGATCAAAATGACGGTCTCACCAGAGACATTTCCCTCAGTCCTATTTCAGCTCAAAATGACGGTCTTACCAGAGACATATCCCTCAGTCTTATTTCAGCTCAAAATGACGGTCTCACCAGAGACATTTCCCTCAGTCCTATTTCATCTCAAAATGACGGTCTCACCAGAGACACTTCCCTCAGTCCTATTTCATCTCAAAATGACGGTATCACCAGAGACATTTCCCTCAGTCCTATTTCAGCTCAAAATGACGGTCTCACCAGAGACATTTCCCTCGGTCCTATTTCAGCTCAAAATGACGGTCTCACCAGAGACATTTTCCTCAGTTCTATTTCAGTTCAAAATGACGGTCTCACCAGAGACATTTCCCTCGGTCCTATTTCAGCTCAAAATGACGGTCTCACCAGAGACATTTCCCTCAATCCTATTTCATCTCAAAATGACGGTCATACCACAGACATTTCCCTCAGTCCTATTTCAGCTCAAAATGACGGTCTCACCAGAGACATTTCCCTCAGTCCTATTTCAGTTCAAAATGACGGTCTCACCAGAGACATTTCCCTCAATCCTATTTCATCTCAAAATGACGGTCATACCACAGACATTTCCCTCAGTCCTATTTCAGCTCAAAATGACGGTCTCACCAGAGACATTTCCCTCAGTCCTATTTTAGCTCAAAATGACGGTCATACCACAGACATTTCCCTCAGTCCTATTTCAGCTCAAAATGACGGTCTCACCAGAGACATTTCCCTCAGTCCTATTTCGGATTAAGATGATTGTTCATTTCAAAGTAACGGTCTTAACAGAGACATTTCCCTCAGTCCTATTTCATCTCAAAGTAACGGTCTTACCAGGGACATTTCCCTCAGTCCTATTTCAGCTCAAAGTAACGGTCTCACCAGAGACATTTCCCTCAGTCCTATTTCAGCTCAAAATGACGGTCTCACCAGAGACATTTCCCTCAGTCCTATTTCAGCTCAAGATGACGGTCTTACCAGAGACATTTCCTTCAGTCCTATTTCAGCTAAAAATGACGGTCTCACCAGAGACATTTCCCTCAGTCCTATTTCAGATCAAGATGATTGTTCATTTCAAAGTAACGGTCTTAACAGAGACATTTCCCTCAGTCCTATTTCAGCTCAAGATGACGGTCTCACCAGAGACATTTCCCTTAGTCCTTTTTCATCCCAAAATAACTGTCATACCACAGACATTTCTCTCAGTCCTATATTATATAACACCTTGTTTTGTAAAATAATGTTCATGTTGCTTAATGACGTTTTTAAATAATAATTTTTAAATCTGATGCAGATAAAATATCTTTTCTTTCCCAAACTAGGGATCGAACTCGAGACCTCGTCTTACGAGACTTGGGTTCTACCTAATGAGCTAGTGAAACATTTCTGATAAGCATTCTATCTTACAAAGTTGACGTCAACCTAAGAATTGGAAACAACATATTGACATGTTCAAAGTTTGATCTTTGTGACACCAGAAGTATTCAAGTGTAAGACACCAAAGTGCGGTGCAATCTTACTTCAAACCTTCACATTTGTGAAATCTCGAAAAAGTTTAACTATATATACTAAACAATATCAGCGTAATCAGTTAAAAACAAACCAAGAGTTGTTGGCACTTTTGCCCATTACTGGGTTAATAAATGGACTGCTCGACTTACGTTTGTAAACAACAACACGACCAACACAGTTGCACATTAGGTTTTTAATTTCACAACTTGACATATAAAACATGATAACCGTGTCTACGTGAGAAAGATAACCGCCGTCACTCCATACACGTGTTACACGTGTTAGTCCATGTTTCTAACACATTAAAAGCACGACATTAAGGTAATCTCAACAATAATTCAGGAATGCGTTCTTGTTGGCACCATGTAGAATGTTAAACTACTACGTAATTGTGTTTGATCCTATACGTAATTACAATGTCAGTGTTTGATCTCCTATGTGAGTTTGTTTGATCCTATACGTAATTACAATGTCAGTGTTTGATCTCCTATGTGAGTTTGTTTGATCCTATACGTAATTACAATGTCAGTGTTTGATCTCCTATGTGAGTTTGTTTGATCCTATACGTAATTACAATGTCAGTGTTTGATCTCCTATGTGAGTTTGTTTGATCCTATACGTAATTACAATGTCAGTGTTTGATCTCCTATGTGAGTTTGTTTGATCCTATACGTAATTACAATGTCAGTGTTTGATCTCCTATGTGAGTTTGTTTGATCCTATACGTAATTACAATGTCAGTGTTTGATCTCCTATGTGAGTTTGTTTGATCCTATACGTAATTACAATGTCAGTGTTTGATCTCCTATGTGAGTTTGTTTGATCCTATACGTAATTACAATGTCAGTGTTTGATCTCCTATGTGAGTTTGTTTGATCCTATACGTAATTACAATGTCAGTGTTTGATCTCCTATGTGAGTTTGTTTGATCCTATACGTAATTACAATGTCAGTGTTTGATCTCCTATGTGAGTTTGTTTGATCCTATACGTAATTACAATGTCAGTGTTTGATCTCCTATGTGAGTTTGTTTGATCCTATACGTAATTACAATGTCAGTGTTTGATCTCCTATGTGAGTTTGTTTGATCCTATACGTAATTACAATGTCAGTGTTTGATCTCCTATGTGAGTTTGTTGGATCTGATACGTAATTACAATGTCAGTGTTTGATCTCCTATGTGAGTTTGTTGGATCTGATACGTAATTACAATGTCAGTGTTTGATCTCCTATGTGAGTTTGTTGGATCTGATACGTAATTACAATGTCAGTGTTTGATCTCCTATGTGAGTTTGTTTGATCCTATACGTAATGACAATGTCAGTGTTTGATCTCCAATGTGAGTTTGTTTGATCCTATACGTAATTACAATGTCAGTGTTTGATCTCCTATGTGAGTTTGTTTGATCCTATACGTAATTACAATGTCAGTGTTTGATCTCCTATGTGAGTTTGTTGGATCTGATACGTAATTACAATGTCAGTGTTTGAACTAAGTAAGGTAATACAGAGGATCCGTAAAGATGTGTGTCAATCATTCCTTTGTATTGTTTCCTTATATAAAGAATCACTAGGGGCGAGATGACTGAACCAAGATCCGAATCAGAGACTACGAATTACTCGTCCAGCGCTCTGACGATTCTATTTATAATTATATTTAGCCAAACGAGTAGTTATACATCCGGGTTCTACTCAGTGTTAGAACGATGATGTCAGGCCATCTTTCATAAAGAAAACTTAATCAGAATATTACAGAGGATATTTTTAATGTACCAAACACAAACTGAGAAGATTACTATATACAATATCAACCAAACATTGTATTCATTCTTTATAAACCACACATTGATGCATTCATTCTTTATGAGTCACACATTGATGTATTCATTCTTTATAAACCACACATTGATGTATTCATTCTTTATGAGCCACACATTGATGTATTCATTCTTTATGAACCACACATTGATGTATTCATTCTTTATGAACGACACATTGATGTATTCATTCTTTATAAACCACACATTGATGTATTCATTCTTCATAAACCACACATCGATGTATTCATTCTTTACGAACCACACATTGATGAGTTCATTCTTTATAAACCACACATTGATGTATTCATTCTTTATGAACCACACATTGATGTATTCATTCTTTATGAACCACACATTGCTGGGTTCATTCTTTATAAACCACACATTGATGTATTCATTCTTTATAAACCACACATTGATGTATTCATTCTTCATAAACCACACATCGATGTATTCATTCTTTACGAACCACACATTGATGAGTTCATTCTTTATAAACCACACATTGATGTATTCATTCTTTATGAGCCACACATTGATTGGTTCATTCTTTATGAACCACACATCGATGGGTTCATTCTTTATGAACCACATATTGATGTATTCATTCTTCATTTCGTCCAATTCCTAGTGATAATTGGCTGCTGGTTGACAATCATTCCCGAAGGTTATAATAGCTTTGTATTTTGAGGTGATTTGTCAGTGTTTTAATGAAATACTGATTTAAGTGTTAAATATCTGCTGTAACCCAAGGTTTAGAATTTATTATAAGGGGTTTTATAGGCATTTTTCCACTCTTAGCTGTATTCTTCATAGGTTGTTTCGAAACACTTAAAACATGGTGTTTTAAACTTCTTTTCACCCAATAGTACTGATGAGTCCTAAAGGTCCGTGTGGCGCAGGACTATATCTACTCTGTTTGGGTTTCTGCATCAAAATCATAATCATAAAAGAAGTTTGTCGTGTTTTTCGTGTTCTAGTGATGATGTTACGTGGACTTTTATATGGTCTATGTATATTGTATGGGGCGATTTACTGTACAACTATCACTCCTAACGTTGTGTGACCTAACTAGAGAACATCCTATGATAATATAGACAAACATAAACAGACCTAATCCGAGTAGTATGTCTACGATCAAAGCTTGGTGTGAAGGTTTTCTACAAAACACTCACGTAACGTAATGGTTTTTTCTCAAACGCAGACGCAATGGAAGCGAATATTATTAGTATTATTGAGAAACATTTCTCACCTACACCATGAACTAGGATATTATTAGTATTATTGAGAACCATTTCTCACCTACACCATGAACTAGGATATTACGAAGGCGAATAAAGCAAGGCACACCGACAGATTGAATTCACTATAAACAAGCTTTGAAAATTGGGAGTGTTGTGTGGCCACGAACAGTAATACATCTTGAGTGTGGACGGATTACTGCAAAACAACATGGTACACATTACATATAAAATTTAACAACATTTTACTACATATTCCATCATTCATACTTAAGGTTAGATAAAGGTCCGTGACTGGATCTGATATACAAATATATATAAACATAGGGGAAATCCATTAATAGTAAATACTAGTACCTTTGGTCTATGTACTAAGTACTAGAACCTTTGGTCTATATACGAAGTAAGTACTAGTACCTTTGATCTGTGTACTAAGTAAGTTCTAGTACCTTTGGTCTATATACTAAGTAAGTACTAGTACCTTTGATCTGTGTACTAAGTAAGTTCTAGTACCTTTGGTCTATGTACTAAGTACTAGTACATTTGGTCTATGTACTAAGTACTAGTACCTTCCTTTGGTCTATATACTAAGTAAGTACTAGTACCTTTGGTCTATGTACTAAGTAAGTTCTAGTACCTTTGGTCTATGTACTAAGTAAGTACTAGTACCTTTGGTCTGTGTACTAAGTACTAGTACCTTTAGTCTATGTACTAAGTAAGTACAAGTACCTTTGGTATATGTACTAAGTACTAGTACCTTTGGTCTATGTACTAAGTAAGTACTAGTACCTTTGGTCTCTGTACTAAGTACTAGTACCTTTGGTCTATGCACTAAGTAAGTACTAGTACCTTTGATCTGTGTACTAAGTAAGTTCTAGTACCTTTGGTCTATGTACTAAGTAAGTACTAGTACCTTTGGTCTATGTAGTAAGTAAGTACTAGTACCTTTGGTCTATGTACTAAGTAAGTACTAGTACCTTTAGTCTATGTACTAAGTAAGTACTAGTACCTTTGGTCTATATACTAAGTAAGTACTAGTACCTTTGGTCTATGTAGTAAGGAAGTACTTGTACCTTTAGTCTAAGTACTAAGTAAGTACAAGTACCTTTGGTCTATGTACTAAGTACTAGTACCTTTGGTCTATGTACTAAGTAAGTTATAGTACCTTTTGTCTATGTACTAAGTAAGTACTAGTACCTTTGGTCTATATACTAAGTAAGTACTAGTACCTTTGGTCTGTGTACTAAGTAAGTACTAGTACCTTTGGTCTATGTACTAAGTAAGTTCTAGTACCTTTGGTCTATGTACTAAGTAAATACTAGTACCTTTGGTCTATGTACTAAGTAAGTACTAAGACCTTTGGTCTATGTACTAAGTACTAGTACCTTTGGTCGGTGTACTAAGTAAGTACTAGTACCTTTAGTCTATGTACTAAGTAAGTACTAGTACCTTTGGTCTATGTACGAAGTAAGTACTAGTACCTTTGGTCTGTGTACTAAGTAAGTACTAGTACCTTTGGTCTTGGTACTAAGTAAGTACTAGGACCTTTGGTCTATGTACTGTTAGTCACTTTTATTCTTGCATGTGCTTCACTGAACTATGCTTGTAGGTTTTATTTGCGAATATTTGAGGTCGCGATTTAGACAATACCGTTCAACGAGAATCCACACAAATCAAAGCTAAAACTAATCACTCGCAAAAATGAATTGTTTAACAGTACTTGACCACATTATATACACTTAGCACGTCAGTGAGAGTGCCGGTACAGACGTATTATCTGAGCGATGTACGTCATTTTCAAGACAAGACGAATACCACAGGAGGACGGGAGTGGTCGTCATAACGTTGACTACAAAGTGACACTTCAGAAGTGTTGATTAACGTCTGTTACTATATGTAAGTTAAATCTGGGTATACTCATTGGGAAGTTAATCGAGTCGGTCTTACAGCAGTAGATGTTGTTGCCGTATGAACTGACATGATAATCTCTCATGGCCAATGACACTGATTCAAACCTTGTATTTGTCATAAACACAATGAATGTAAGTTCTAAAGTGAACCGACCACCATTGAAATATTTCCGTCAATGTCAGCACAAATATGTGATTGTGGCGACATTAGTTGGCCTGCTCATTGTACGACTAATTCGCACACAAATAGTTTGGTAAAGTCCAACACTAGTAGAAAAGGAAATAGGACAGTTTTGTCGTAAATCGTACATTTCATATTAACTTTCCCTCCCAACTGTAGTGAGAGTATGATAATGAATTACTAATTGCTATGTACACATAAGGTGCTCTCAGAGGTAATACACTAAACCATCTATAGCAGTTATTGCTATAATAATAAGATTACTTAGAATAATGCGAAAATAGTTATAAGCTAACAGTAATCAAGCACAATAAAAATCTCTATATAATGAATACCAATGTTGAATGTCATAAAAGTTTTATATTTTATAATATTTCAAGGATACAGATATAAATTGGAATATAGAACGCAATTAAGATTCATAAACAAACTTAATGTCAGTAAATTGTCTCCTTAGGTAACAGACCAATGAAATCTTGCCAAGTTAGGTAACCAACCAATGTACGCTTGGGTCGCTAGCAAACCAACCAATGTACGCTTGGCTCGCTAGCAAACCAACCAATGTACGCTTGGCTCGCTAGCAAACCAACCAATGCACGCTTGAGTCGCTACCAAACCAACCAATGTACGCTTGGGTCGCTACCAAACCAACTTATGAACGCTTGGCTAGCTAGCAAACCAAATTATGTACGCTTGGGTTGCTAGCAAACCAACCAATGTACGCTTGGCTCGTTAGCAAACCAACCAATGTACGCTTGGCTCGCTAGCAAACCAACAAATGACGCTTTGGTCGCTAGAATACCAACCGATGTACGCTTGGCTCGCTAGCAAACCAGCCAATGTACGATTGGCTCGCTAGCAAACCAACTTATGTACGCTTGGCTCGCTAGCAAACCAACCAATGTACGCTTGGCTCGCTAGCAAACCAACCAATGTACGCTTGGCTCGCTAGCAAACCAACTTATGTACGGGAGTTTGACAATGTAATTGCCTTTGTAAGACTAAAGCATCTTTGAATCTGAGCTGATAAACCTGTCACTACCCGTACTGTATAGTCCATTTTGAATTCTTCTCTGTACATATGTATACCCTTCAGATACGTCTATTTTACATGGACATTCTGCATCACTTGATTGCCTTCTCTGTACACATGTATACCCTGCAGATACGTCTATTTTACATGGACATTCTGCATCACTTGATTGCCTTCTCTGTACATATGTATACCCTTCAGATACGTCTATTTTACATGGACATTCTGCATCACTTGATTGCCTTCTCTGTACATATGTATACCCTTCAGATACGTCTATTTTACATGGACATTCTGCATCACTTGATTGCCTTCTCTGTACATATGTATACCCTTCAGATACGTCTATTTTACATGGACATTCTGCATCACTTGATTGCCTTCTCTGTACATATGTATACCCTTCAGATACGTCTATTTTACATGGACATTCTGCATCACTTGATTGCCTTCTCTGTACATATGTATACCCTTCAGATACGTCTATTTTACATGGACATTCTGCATCACTTGATTGCCTTCTCTGTACATATGTATACCCTTCAGATACGTCTATTTTACATGGACATTCTGCATCACTTGATTGCCTTCTCTGTACATATGTATACCCTTCAGATACGTCTATTTTACATGGACATTCTGCATCACTTGATTGCCTTCTCTGTACATATGTATACCCTTCAGATACGTCTATTTTACATGGACATTCTGCATCACTTGATTGCCTTCTCTGTACATATGTATACCCTTCAGATACGTCTATTTTACATGGACATTCTGCATCACTTGATTGCCCTCTCTGTACACATGTATACCCTTCAGATACGTCTATTTTACATGGACATTCTGCATCACTTGATTGCATTCTCTGTACATATGTATTCCCTGCAGATACGTCTATGTTACATGGACATTCTGCATCACTTGATTGCCTTCTCTGTACATATGTATACCCTTCAGATTCATCTATTTTACATGGATATTCTACATCACTTGATTGCCTTATATGAAGTCGACATGTATTGTTTATGAATGATAATACACTCATTTGTAAATTGTTTGATAAAAGTTCATATCCAATGTAATTGTTTAGTACAATATACAATGTACCGGTTTTTTGATGCTATGGGTCACCTGTTCAGTAAACTACACACTTTCTTGGCCATTCCGTTCTGTAATTTTTATCGTCATTTGGATACCAACCATGATCCGTTTCTTTTTTATATCACAGCGTATGGTCCGACAAAGGATATGCTATTTGAGGTAATCGCTACCCATCAAGGTTACTATAGCCCTCAATCAAATACAGAACGACACGTCGACACCATGAGTTTCATACAGTAGTACATGTAGTAAACCATGTCTTCCCCAAACAACAACAACAACAACAACGATACAGCACATTACGTGACACATGCTAATATTGTCCTACTGACACATACTAGACATAGTCCCACAGTCCAGTGACCGTTGACCATGGTGTTACCAGTCTCACAGTCCACTGACCACTGACCACGAGATTACTAGTCCCACAGTCCAGTGACCGTTGCCCATGGAGTTACCAGTCCCACAGTCCACTGACCACGAGGTGCCTAGTCCCACAGTCCAGTGACCGTTGACCATGGAGGTACCAGTCTCACAGTCCACTGACGACTGACCACGAGGTTACTAGTCCCACAGTCTAGTGACCATTGACCATGGTGTTACCAGTCTCACAGTCCACTGACCACTGACCACGAGGTTACTAGTCCCACAGTCCAGTGACCGTTGACCATAAATTTACCAGTCCCACAGTCCACTGACCACGAGGTTACTAGTCCCACAGTCCAGTGACCGTTGACCGTGGCGTTACCAGTCCCACAGTCAACTGACCACTAACCACTGACCACGAGTTTACCAGTCCCCCAGTCCAGTGACCACTCACCACGAGGTTACTAGTGTGGCCAGTGACTACTGACCACGAGGTTACCAGTCCCACAGTCCAGTGACCACTGACCACGAGGTTACTAGTCTGTCCAGTGACTACTGACAATGAGGTTACCAGTCCCACAGTCCACTGACCACTGACCACTGACCACGAGGTTACCAGTCCCACAGTCCAGTGACCACTGACCACGAGGTTACTAGTCCCACAGTCCAATGACCACTGACCATGAGGTTACCAGTCCCACAGTCCACTGACCACTGATCATGATGTTACCAGTTCTGTTTCCAGTGACCACTGACCATGATGTTATCAGTTCTGTTTCCAGTGACCACTGACCATGATGTTACCAGTTCTGTTTCCAGTGACCACTGACCACGAGTTTACCAAGGACTGTTGATCTGATACTTAACACCTACTAGGCCCAACAAGCATGTCCGTGGTAACGACCAAGTCACACAGTTCTGTACTGTCGGATGGTTTGATGGTGTCGATACTCTTGTCTGGGGTGATAGTCTGTCGACAAGTGCTGTAGGACACATCGGAATGGCTCCATCGAGGGATCAGGACATGTCGCTCCTTTAGACACCATTTACAACATGGACACGTCTTCCGCAATTGTCCTCTGTAACTAAAGGATCTGAAACGACAGGAGTATACTTTTAGATACCGAATAACATGACATTAAACGATAGGAGAATACTTTAAGATACCGAATAACATGACATTAAACGATAGGAGTATTCTTTTAGATACCGAATAACATGACATTAAACGATAGTAGTATACTTTTAGATACCGAATAACATGACATTAAACGATAGTAGTATACTTTTAGATACCGAATAACATGACATTAAACGATAGGAGTATACTTTTAGATACCGAATAACATGACATTAAACGACAGGAGTATACTTTTAGATACCGAATAACATGACATAAAACGACAGGAGAATACTTCTACGTACCAAATAACATGACATAAAACGATAGGAGTACACTTCTACGTACCTAATAACATGACATAAAACGACAGGAGAATAATTCTACGTACCAAATAACATGACATAAAACGACAAAAGTACACTTCCAGATACCAAATAACATAACATAAAACGACAGGAGTACCCTTCCAGGTACCTACTAACAGAACATAAAACGACGGGAGTACACATCCAGGTACAAATAACATGACATAAGACGACACGAGTACACTTCCAGGTACCAAATAACATGACATAAGACGACACGAGTACACTTCCAGGTACCTAATAACATAACATAAAAAGACAGGAGTACACTTCCAGGCACCAAATAACATGACATAACACGACAAAAGTACACTTCCAGATACCAAATAACATAACATAAAACGACAGGAGTACACTTCTACGTACCAAATAACATGACATAAAACGACAGGAGTACACTTCCAGGTACCTACTAACATAACATAAAACGACGGGAGTACACTTCCAGGTACAAATAACATGACATAAGACGACAGGAGTACACTTCTACGTACCAAATAACATGACATAAAACGACAGGAGTACACTTCTACGTACCAAATAACATGACATAAAACGACAGGAGTACACTTCCAGGTACCAAATAACATGACATAAAACGACAGGAGTACACTTCCAGGTACCAAATAACATGACATAAAACGACAGGAGTACACTTCCAGGTACCAAATAACATGACATAAAACGACAGGAGTACACTTCCAGGTACCAAATAACATGACATAAAACGACAGGAGTACACTTCTACGTACCAAATAACATGACATAAAACGACAGGAGTACACTTCAAGATACCTTATAACAAGACATAAAACGACAGGAGTACACTTCCAGATACCAAATAACATGACATAAAACGACAGGAGTACAATTCCAGGTACCAAATAACATGACATAAAACGACAGGAGTACACTTCTACGTACCAAATAACATGACATAAAACGACAGGAGTACACTTCAAGATACCTTATAACAAGACATAAAACGACAGGAGTACACTTCCAGATACCAAATAACATGACATAAAACGACAGGAGTACAATTCCAGGTACCAAATAACATGACATAAAACGACAGGAGTACACTTCCAGATACCTAATAACATGACTTTAAACGACAGGAGTACACTTCTACGTACCAAATAACATGACATAAAACGACAGAAGTACACTTCTACGTACCAAATAACATGACATAAAACGACAGGAGAAGACTTCTACGTACCAAATGACATGATATAAAACGACAGGAGTACACATCCAGGTACCAAATAACATTACATTAAACGACAGGAGTACACTTCCAGATACCTAATAACATGACATAAAACGACAGTGGTACACTTCCAGATACCTAATAACATGACTTTAAACGACAGTGGTACACTTCTACGTACCAAATATTATGACATAAAACGACAGGAGTACACTTCTACGTACCAAAAGACATGATATAAAACGACAGGAGTACACTTCCAGATACCTAATAACATGACATAAAACGACAGGAGTAAACTTCCAGATACCAAATAACATGACATAAAACGACAGGAATACACTTCTACGTACCAAATAACATGACATAAAACGACAGTGGTACACTTCCAGGTACCAAATAACATGACATAAAACGACAGGAGTACACTTCTACGTACCAAATAACATGACATAAAACGACAGGAGTACACTTCCAGATAACAAGAAGAGACCTAACAGTCAGGTCCAACCGTGTCATGTGCTGACTTCATATATCCTTTCAGTTGAGTATTGGTTGTGGATTGATAATTAATTGTGACGTCACTAGGAAATCATCAGACATGTAAATCTCTCTTCCCCTTTACACCTCCGAAACAATTCAGATTAGGATTTGATATAAAACTCCTCGAATCTAATCCTATTCTGCCTGACATTACATGTAAGGGCGGGTATGACTAGATTCGGGGACGTTTATGATATGATATCCTGCGAAATATAATGATTGTGTTATAGGTGTTTGGCGACAGAAGTTCCATAATCGTTGTTCTGAAATTATCTTAATAACTGACTTACATGAGGTGGTGACAGGTCCTTGAGCTGAAGATGCCATAGATGATAGGATTGAGTGCACTGTTGAGGGGGGCCAGACTCTGGATAAAGCCGTTTATCCCTATAACCAGCCGACTAGTGAAGTCCATATGTCCAAACACGGCTACCAGATTCACAATGAAATAGGGACTCCAACACAGGATAAACACTGAAAACAAACCAATCAGGACAATTCCTTATTAATGATCAGGAAAGATAAATCCGTGGTATGTTTTCCCTGTGTGTTGACGTTGTTGGATATTTTGTCCTGTGTGTTGACACTGTGTTATATCTAGTCTTTGTGTGTTGACGCTGTGGTATATGTAGTCTTTGTGTGTTGACGCTGTGGTATATCTTGTCTTTGTATGGTGACGATGTGGTTTATTTTGTTTTTGTGTGTTGACGCTGTGGTATATTTTGTTTTTGTGTGTTGACGCTGTGGTATATTCTGTCATTGTGTGTTGATGCCGTGGTATATCTAGTCTTTGTGTGTTGACACTGTGGTATATCTAGTCTTTGTGTGTTGACGCTGTGGTTTATTCTGTCTTTGTGTGTTGACGCTGTGGTTTATTCTGTCTTTGTGTGTTGACGCTGTGGTATATTCTGTCTTTGTGTGTTGACGCTGTGGTTTATTCTGTCTTTGTGTGTTGACGCTGTGGTTTATTCTGTCTTTGTGTGTTGACGCTGTGGTATATGTAGTGTTTGTGTGTTGACACTGTGGTATACGTAGTGTTTGTGTGTTGACACTGTGGTATACGTAGTTTTTGCGTGTTGACACTGTGGTATATCTAGTCTTTGTGTGTTGACACTGTGGTATACGTAGTTTTTGCGTGTTGACACTGTGGTATATCTAGTCTTTGTTTGTTGACGCTGTGGTATATCGTGTCTTTGTGTGTTGACACTGGTATATGTAGTCTTTGTTTGTTGACGCTGTGGTATATCTAGTCTTTGTTTGTTGACGT